AATACTCAAACCAATTTTTTTCCCTTGTAAATTTAATCATTTCCTACAAAAATAAATAAAAAGAAATTAGTAAGATAAAATAAAAATAGAAAAAAACATTAATAGAAAAAACAAATATATATATAAAAGTGAAATTTAATATTTACCCAATGTATTATAATAACCTACAAAAAAAAACATATTAATAAAACAAGAGAAAATACAATTAAATCCAATAAAAATTTAACAACATGGATACAAAAAATATATTTGAGAAGTATAAAGAAAAATGAAAGAAATAAACTTATGTCCAAGTTAACTTTTGAAAGTTTTACTGAAAATTTGAAGAGAACAATACAAAAAGAAAGAGGAAGAGTTGAGAAAGTTGATAAGAAAAAGGGATGAAAGGGGTTGGAAGAGAGGGGTAACAAAGAAATGTGGGAAAGAAGAGAAAATAGGACAAAGAGAGAAAGAACAGAGGGGAACCAAAGAGAAAATGGAGAAGGGGAGAAGGAAAATTGAGAAAAGGCACAAAACGAGATTTTGCAAAAGAGGTAGCAGAAGATAATATATAGGCAAATTTATTTCAGACCATGAACGATCCGAAATGTATTCAATAAACTACTACTGTGCACCAAAACTTTCAAACGTTGCTGAAATATTTGGCAGTTTTTTATTTCAGACCGACATTGGTCCAAATAATGAAAAAAATTTTACATTCAACATTCAAACACTTTTGGCAAAAAGGGCGGTAAAGTAATCGGACCAACTTTGGTCCGTATACATATCAACTGAAAAAAAGGTGTGGATCAACTTAAAAAAAGATATAAAATATTTATAAAAAAAAAGGTTTAAATATTCGGACCAATGTTGGTTCGAATATCTTGCACAATTTACTTTTTTTTTTTTTTCCTTGACACCTTAAATCATTGTACTCTCACATAAACAACAACATTTAAAGGCCTTAAATAGCTTAGAACCTATTTTTAAAACTTAAAATAGCAATTCAAAGGGTATATGGTTTCGTAACGGTGTGGGATAAGTATAAAGTTAATTATTTTAACTCCTCACATTTAAGATTTTACAATGATGTTGACTTACATCACGAAAAATCAATTTCAGGTGCTTGACTGATGGTGCCGGGGTTAGGGGTGACTATGGTGGTTCAATGCGCGCACATGGCTTTGGTAGAAATGGAATCAAAGCTCGGGAAAACCTAGTTGTCCTTAAATGAATAGAATGAAAAAGTCTTAGAAGAGAAGGTTCTAGATTCTGCGGGAGTTATTCGGACTAATGATGGTCTGAATATTGTTTTCCAAACCAAAGTTGGTCTGAATATCGTCCCAAGTGTACCTTTTTTTTTTTTACACTTTAAACCGTACACGATCCATTGTAATCTCACATCAACAACAACATTTAAAGGCTTTGAATAGCTTAGAACCTATTTTTAAAATTAACAATAATAATCCAAAGGGTATATGGTTTCGTAACGGTATGGCATAAGTATAAAGTTAATAATCTTAACTCATCGCGTTTAAGATTTTACAATTATGTTGCCTTACATCACAAAAAACTAATTTCAGGTGCTTGACTAATGGTGTCGGGGTTATGGGTGACTATTGTGGTTCAGTGTGTGCACATGGCTTCGGTAGAAATGGAATCGGGGCTTGGGAAAACCTAGTTGTCTTTAAATGAAAAGAATGAAAAAGTCTTAAAAGAAGAGGTTCTAGATTCTACGAGATTTATTCAGATCAATGTTGGTCTAAATATTGTTTTCTAGACCAAAGTTGGTTTGAATATCATGCACAATTTATTTATTTATTTATTTATTTTGATACCTTAAACCGTATGTGATCCATTGTAATCTCACTTCAACAGCAACATTTAAAGGCCTTGAATAGCTTAGAGCTTATATTTAAATCCAAAGGCCTCTAGAAAGCTAGGTTATCCTTAAATGAAAAGAATGAAAAAGTCTTAGAAAAGAAGTTTGTAGATTTTGGTGGTGTTATTCGGACCAATGTTGGTCCGAATATGTTTTGCACAGTTTGCTCTTTTTTTTTTTTCTTAGCACCTTAAACCATTGTACTCTCACATGAACAACAACATTTAAAGGCCTTGAATAGCTTAGAACCTATTTTTAAAACTAACAATAATAACCAACAGGTATATGGTTTCGTAACAGTATGGCATAAGTATAAAGTTAATAATCTTAACTCCTCGCGTTAAAGATTTTATAATGATGTTGCCTTACATCATGAAAAACCAATTTCAGGTGCTTTACTGATGGTGCCGGGGTTATGGGTGACTATGGTGGTTTAGTGTGTGCACATTGCTTCGGTAGAAATGGAATCGGAGCTTGGGAAAACCTAGTTGTCCTTAAATGAAAAGAATGAAAAAGTCTTAGAAGAGAAGATTCTAGATTCTGCAGGAGTTATTCGGACCAATGTAGGCCTAAATATTGTTTTCCAAACCAAAGTTGATCTGAATATCATGCACAATTTTTTTTTTTTTTGACACCTTAAACTGTATACCATCCATTGTAATCTCACTTCAACAACAACATTTAAAGGCCTTGAATAACTTAGAGCCTATACTTAAATCCAAAGGCCTCTGGAAAGCCAGGTTATCCTTAAATGAAAAGAATGAAAAAGTCATAGAAAAGAAGTTTGTAGGTTCTGGTGGTGTTATTCGGACCAATTTTGGTCCGAATATGTTTTCCAAACCAACATTGGTCCGAATATCTTGCACAATTTACTCTTTTTTTTTTCTTGACACCTTAAACCATTGTACTATGACATGAACAACAACATTTAAAGGCCTTGAATAACTTAGAACCTATTTTTAAAACTAACAATAATAATCCAATGGGTATATGGTTTCGTAACGGTGTGGCATAAGTATAAAGTTAATAATCTTAACTCCTTGCGTTTAAGATTTTACAATGATGTTGCCTTACATCATGAAAAACCAATTTCAGGTGCTTAACTGATGGTGCCGGGGTTATGGGTGACTATGGTGGTTTAGTGTGTGCACATGGCTTCAGTAGAAATGGAATCGGAGCTCGGGAAAACCTAGTTGTCCTTAAATAAAAAAAATGAAAAAGTCTTAGAAGAGAAGCTTCTAGATTCTATGGGAGTTATTTGAACCAATGTAGGTCTGAATATTTTTTTCCAGACCAAAGTTGGTCCAAATATCGTGCACAACTTTTTTTTTTGACACCTTAACCCGTATCAATCCATTGTAATCTCACTTCAACAACAACATTTAAAGGCCTTGAATAGCTTAGAGCCTATACTTAAATCCAAAGGCCTTTGGAAAGCCAAGTTATCCTTAAATGAAAAGAATGAAAAAGTCTTAGAAAAGAAGTTTGTAGATTTTGGTGGTGTTATTCAGACCAATGTTGGTCCGAATATGTTTTCCAAACCAACATTGGTCCGAATATCTTGCACAATTTACTCTTTTTTTTTTTTTCTTGACAGCTTAAACCATTGTACTCTCACATGAACAACAACATTTAAAGGTCTTGAATAGCTTAGAACCTATTTTTAAAACTAACAATAATAATCCAATAGGTATATGGTTTCGTAATGGTGTGGCATAAGTATAAAGTTAATAATCTTAATTACTCGCGTTTAAGATTTTACAATGATGTTGCCTTACATCACAAAAAACCAATTTCAAGTGCTTGACTGATGGTGCCAGGGTTATGGGTGACTATGGTGGTTCAGTGTGTGCACATGACTTCGATAGAAATGGAATCGGAGCTCGGGAAAACTTAGTTGTCCTTAAATGAAAAGAATGAAAAATTCTTAAAAGAGAAGCTTCTAGATTTTGCGAGAGTTATTCGGACCAATGTAGGTTTGAATATTGTTTTCTATACCAAAGTTGGTCCGAATATCATGCACAATTAATTTTTTTTTTGACACCCTAAACTGTATGCAATCCATTGTAATCTCACTTCAACAACAACATTTAAAGGCCTTGAATAGCTTAGAGCCTATACTTAAATCCAAAGGCCTCTGGAAAGCTAGGTTATCCTTAAATGAAAAGAATGAAAAAGTCTTAGAAAAGAAGTTTGTAGATTTTGGTGGTGTTATTTCGACCAATGTTGGTCCGAATATGTTTTCCAGACCAATATTGGTCTGAATATCTTGCACAGTTTACTCTTTTTTATTGACACCTTAAACCATTGTACTCTCACGTGAACAACAACATTTAAAGGTCTTGAATAGCTTATAACCTATTTTTAAAACTAACAATAACAATCCAAAGGGTATATGGTTTCGTAACGGTGTAGGATAAGTATAAAGTTAATAATGTTAACTCCCCACGTTTAAGATTTTACAATGATGTTGACTTACGTCACGAAAAACCAATTTCAGGTGCTTGACTAATGGTGCCGAGGTTATGGGTGACTATGGTGGTTATTGCGTGCACATGGCTTTGGTAGAAATGGAATCAGAGCTCAGGAAAACCTAGTTGCCTTAAATGAAAAGAATGAAAAGGTCTTAAAAGAGATTCTACAGGAGTTATTCGGACCAATATTGGTCTGAATATTGTTTTCCAGACCAAAGTTGGTCCGAATATTATGTACAGTTTATTTTTTTTTTCCTCAACACCTTAAACAGTGCCTGAACCATTGTACTCTCACTCGAACAACAGTATCTAAATGCATTGAATACTTTAAAACCTATACTTAAAACTAATAATAACAATCCAAAGGGCTTGGGAAAGGCTTGTTGTCCTTAAACGAAAAGAATGAATATGTATAAAATGTGAATTTTTTAGATTCTGGGGGCTATATTCGGACCACTATTGGTCCGAATAAGTTGGGCAGACCAACAGTGGTCCGAATAAAGCCTCAATATGCTTTAATTTCTTGTAATTGTTATTAGAATGTGAAAGTTTCTTTAGAATAAATCCTACTATGAAGTGGACAACTAAGAATTTAGGCAAATATGCTAGAACAGAGGGATAATAATAGATAGTTTATAATAATATTATGTCGGTATTCATAGATATATAAGTTTAACATCTTATTTATGAGGCCTATAAATGTGGTGTCCTAGGAGTAGTAGCGCCACTGCTAGAGGGAGGTGTCATGCCAAGCTGTTGGTACAAAAATTATAAATTTTCAGCTAAAGACATATTTGATGCTTGCATAACAGCAAACTTAGCTCTAGGTGCCTCAAACTCAACTCGGGATGCCTGCAGCTCAGCTTTAGTCCCTTGTAGCTCAGCTTGAGTCCCCTACAACTCATTTTTCAATAATTGAACAGTTTGTTGTAACTCCTCAACCTGGGGAGAGTGTCGCATTATTGGGGGCCTCGAAGGCTCTCGCCTGGCACTGACACCTACATCATGTGGATGGGTGTGGATATCAAGACCTTTTAACCATCCCCTTTTCATCCCACCAATTGCTCTCATTAATTGGTCACCATGGATTTGTGTTGGGTCAAATCCTTCTTCCCATTCCCTAGTTGCATACTCAGATGCTAATTTTTCCTGAAATCATATAAACACCCAAAAAAATGGTTAATATGAATATGGAAAAATCTATAGTAATTATGATAGTAATATAAATATCTAATTATGTCATAATAATGAAAAACCCATTAAAGTCAAAAGGAAAACCCACCTAGGATTCTGAAGATGATTGCAATATCCTTGATGCTAATGATGATGAAGAAATTACTTAGAATAAGTAATTTCAATAATTTTGATTAATTCATACTAAATTTTAAAAAATTCAGCGAAGTCTCCTCTAAAAATAGACCTTTTACAAACAAAATACACACACCCACATTCAACATAATTTGCATAATAACACTATTCAAAACTATGTTTTCTTTATTCTAAAACAAATAGCATATCAAAGTAAAGAATGATGAAATTCTTATAGACATTGAGAAAGAAGGATTGCTTAAATTCTGGCTTCTTGTCATGATAATAATATAAATATCCAATTATGTCATAATAATGAAAAACCCATCAAAGTCAGAAGGAAAACCCACCTGGGATTCTAAAGATGATTGCAAAATCCTTGATGATAATGATGATGAAGAAATTACTTAGAATAAGTAATATCAATAATTTTGATTAATTCTGACTAAATTTTAAAAAATTCAGCAGAGTCTCCTTTAAAAATCAACCTTTTACCAACAAAATACACACACCCACATTCAACATAATTTGTACAATAACAATATTCAAAACTATGCTTTCTTTATTCTAAAACAAATAGCATATCAAAGTAAAGAATGATGAGATTCTTGTAGACATTGAGAAAGAAAGATTGCTTAAATTCTGGCTCTTTGCTGGATGTGAAACCAATGTGGTTTGAATCATGGACAAAATTCATCACTATCACCAAAACCTTAAATATCCTACTCCTAGCCCTTGATTCCCCAATTAAATCACATCTTCTTCTATGAAAATCTTGAAATCTAACATTATTTTTTGAAGTCAAGAATGGAAATTCATTTCCAAAAGCAAAATTCAAGAGTTTTGAGTAGCAAAAGTGCCAAATTCAAGAGAAGAAACAAGAGCAATAATAGCCAGCTTGTTAGGTAAGATGAATAATAGCACTATATAAAACTAACCTCAGTCCGTTAATAAATAACTTTAAGTTTTATATTTCATATTATTAAATACTTACGCTAATTTCCCTGGCCTCATCATCGTAGTATGTGGGCAACTTGTCTTTTCTTTTTGGTCAATGTTGCCTCTTACTTGTGTACAGCTCTAGGAATGAGGGTGGATTACCCATTGGATCTGCACTTTGCTGTAATGGAAAAATTTACAAAATTTAAGACAAATATATATTAATATAAAAATATTGTTAACTTTCAAAAACATGGTTAACTTCTATACCATTTTCTTCCTATATTTAGTAACATCCATAGACCCACTAGTGTGTGTGACCTTTGGGCCTTTGGCCTGATTTGCCTTTGCAGCATTAGATCGTCTAATATGGTCTTCATCCTGAAAAATTGATGAAAGTATTTTCATATGATGTTAAAATAATTAAGCATTGCTATTGTCAATATTTAAAAATTTTAACACAATCCTTCATTACCTCGGTCCATATATGAACAAGCTTCTGAAAGAGCTCAGGATTCATGTTTGTGGGCTTCACTTAGCTCATTTAATGCATGCTTAAATTTGATACTGCATGTTTGACACCACAATGATTTTACCCTATCATGAATCTCTGGCTCCCATTGAAATTTTTGTTGGGGAAAAAAAAAAGCATGACAATGTGTTAGAAATATTTACAAATATATTTTAAAATTAAATAAATAAAAGATGGGCCGTACGCAAAACTCATTCCAATAATAATCTCGATACTCTTCTAGAACGAATCCCCACATAGTATAAACATCTGGAAGATTATCCTTTAACTGCACAACAATCTTCCGTCTAATATCTTGCCAGATATTACCCCCATCATCAAGCACCAATGGAATTTTACTGCCATCTGTTGGCATTTTCATTGGTTTTGCCTTTCCTTGTCCCTTCTTTCGATGTGGTGCTCGTTCTGTATCATCTGGACTACTAGAACTATGAACAATCGTATCATTTGCAGTTTCAGGAACTATATCAAGTGTAGCATCCTGATCGATTCAACGTTGAGGATCGAATTGAGATTGATGTCTATTAGGCTGAGATGCATCAGTTGTCTTTGTACATCGTGAAGTACAATAGTCCATTGTAAAAATAATAAAAAGAAAAATAAGTTCATTAGTAAATTAACTTAATGACAATAGATTAAACTTAACATACCAAATAAATAAATTAACATTTTAAAATAAAATAAATATAATTATATAAATACAAACTCAAAAATATCAACTAAATTATAATAAAAAAAAACACAATACACGTAATATAATTATAGCATTTGATAGATTAAGATTAATATGCAAAATAAAATAAATACAATTATAACCATACAAAACATGTAAAATAAACTACCAAATATTAACAAAATTACACTTAAAAAACAAATAATATAAATAATATAGTTTTAGAAGTTCAAATAAGCAAATATAAACTTAATTTAATAACAACTAGTTTTGACAACAAATTCGCCTACTCATCGCTACAATCATTTTCAGAAATATAAGCTTCCATGTTTTCTTCATCAGACGTTTCAAAGTCTTCCCACTCCCCCTCATCATCCTCTTCTCCAATCTCTTCCCCATCATCTACTTCTTCATGTACTTCAACAAGTGTTCCATCATAATACTGTACAGGTTCATAATTTATCTCATAAATATTTATTGGGTGAGGAATATGAGGGTCATCATCTTGATAATATGGTGCTAATCCTTCTTCATGGCTAACCTCATTCTGTGGAGCCTCAATGATACTCCTGGTCCTAATTTTAAGGGCAGCAACCGATCCCCTTCTTTGATGATTAATAGATGGGTATGGAGTGTAATACACCTGGCTAGCTTGACTAGCTAGAATAAAAGGCTTATAAGCTCGAAGGTATCTACTTGGATTAATATCAACTAGTCGATGTTTTTGATCGACTCTAACCCCATGAGCTGGAGGAATCTCATACCAGTCACATTTGAATAAAACAACTGCTTGTCGATGGATTGATCCAAAGTACTCAATCTAAATGACTTCCTGAAGCACCTCATAAAAATCATAATCTAATTCAACTTCAATAGATCCCGCGACACAGATACCATAATTCATTGTTCTCTTATTTTTACCATAGGTAGTAGTCTGAAATCTAAATCCATTGACAATATATCCATTATAACATGAAATTGTATTCTTTGGACTACTGGATAAGCCTTTTATGTGCTCATGGGCATTAATGAACTCATCACTTTTTACCTAAAATGAACAGATTTCGAAAAATAATATTAAATTTATTTGAAAGGAAACAACATATGTTGAGAAATTGAACATTGTCATATGAAAAAATACTCACAGCTTGTTCAAACCAAGGAACAAGATCTCTTTCTCGTTTTGCTTGAATTTGTTGAGGATTCATATTCATGCATTGTTCTCTTTCAAACAAACTATAAAATGTTATATAATTTTTCATTGTTAGTATATTAATTTCACATAAATTAATTTAGATGATAAATTAATATGAGAAATTATAGAGAGTTACTCAATTGATCCATCCTCGCAATTCTTCACAATTCATTAACACATAATATGAAGCAGCTTTGTGCTCCTCTTTCGTCAAGTAACATCTCATAATCTTTGAACCAATAGGTTTCCCAACACATGTAAAGATGGACAGTCCACAATTTGCATCGAATCCACCAACAATATTCCTAGGGGTTGGTCACTTCTACTGTCAACTCCTTCATCAAAGTAATGTGAGATAAAGTTTGTGATCTCAGACATTATGTAACTCTCACATATGGATGCTTCTGGGTGTGCTTTATTTTTGACTGTCAACTTAAGACAATGCATTCGCCTGATTCATCAAGAATTACAATATAATTTCTTTACAAATAAGATATGGAAGTATATTCATATACACATTAATTATAAATTAGTAATAATTATCTCTCAAATGGATACATCCATCAGTATTGCACCGGTCCACCTACACGTGCCTCGTATGCAAGGTGGATTATAAGGTGTTCCATAGAGTCAAAGAATGAAGGTGAAAAAATTTGCTCTAGTTGGCAAATGATTTCTACTATCTTCTCCTGCCACATTGCCATATCATTGGCTCGAATAACAAGAACATACAAGGCCCTAAAAAACTAACTAATCTCAACAAGAGGCTCTCAAACTTGTTTCGGTAGTAAATCACGAAATGTAATTGGCAGGAGGCTTTGCATGAAAATGTGACAATCATGACTTTTCATACTGAACAATTGTGCCTCTTGCATATTCACACATCGAGATATGTTGGATGCAAACCCATCTGGGAATCTAAGTTCTTTTAACCACGGACATACTGATTTTCTTTGATCCCTGCTTAGAACATAAGTGGCCTTAGGTTTTTACCTGATTCCGATCCTGTTTTGGGTATGTGGAGACTTTTCCTTTTACAATACAGTTCTAGATCAAGTCTTGCATTTCTATTGTCCTTTGTCATTGGATCATCCATTACTGTATGTAGGATATTATCAAAAAAGTTTTTCTCACAATGCATGACATCTAAATTATGTCGAATGAAGTTTGTATGCCAATATGGTAATTCCCAAAATATACTCTTTTTAACCTAGTTATGTATCTCACCAAATCCTTGAAATTCTTGTTTTTCAGGTGGCTTGCCAAATAGTATATTAGGTGGCCATTGGACACGACTGCGCACCTCATCACCAAATAATCTCTCTGGCATGGTTGTATTCTCTACACACCCCTTGGTGAAATCATTCTTATTTCTTCGAAATGGATGATCTGGTGGCAAAAACTGTCGGGACAATCAAAAAATGATGTCTTCCAACCATGTTGTAGCCAAAAGGCTTTTGAATTTTCCATGCAATATGGACAAGCTAATCTACCATGTGTGCTCCATCTAAACAACATTACATACCCAGGAAAGTCACTAATGGTCCATATAATTGCAACCCTCATTAGGAAGTATTGATGTCTAAAGCTATCATAAGTTTGAACCCCAGAGTACCAAAGTTGTTTAAGATCATCAATTAGTGGCCGCAGCATTACATCAATGTTCTTTCCAGGACTTTGGGGACCTTGGAGATAATCAATGAAAGAAATACATACTCTTCCTTCATGCACATTGCCGGAGGCAAATTGTAAACTGACACAAAGACTGGCCAACAAGAGTATGGAGATGCAGATTGTCCAAAAAGAGTAAACCCATCAATGCATAGGCCTAGCTTGACATTCCTCGGTTCATTAGCGAAGTCAAGATGGGTGTGATCAAAGTGTTTCCACACATCTCCACATGTAGGATGAACAATTTTTTCATTTTCATTATAACAATTCAAATGCCAAATCATATGCTCAGTAGTTTTCCTAAACATGTACAATCTTTGAAGTCTAGGAATAATTGGGAGATACCACAAAGACTTTCTTGTTATGGGCTTAGCAGAATGAACATCACTCTGCTTAAATTATGGCTCTCCATATACCGGGCACTCTAAATAGCACTGGCTTTCGAATTCTTCATAATACAAAAAACAATTGTTCACACAAATATCATACTTCTTATACCTGAGACCAAGGCGTCTCAACATCTTCTTGGCACTATAATAATCTTTTGGCAATTTCTCTCAATCATTTTTTTTTGAATGCCATTAGACTACGTTTTATCACATAATCCCAATTAGTGACGCTCATATTAAAAAGTGTCTTTGCATTTACAAGCTCACACACCTACTTTAAAATGGTGACACCATCATCCCACCCATCAAAAAGAGGTGTCTCAGCTGCTTGTAGGAGATCAAAGAATTTTTTTGCATCTCCTCTTAGCTCTTCAAATGTTGACTCATCACCACTAGATGCATCCTCAAAACCACAACCAAATTGCACTACATCTTCTACAACAGTAGCACTATTTTCATTATTAAAAAAATCAAGCCCTATGGCATCATCAAGCATGTCTCTAAGCTGATCAACACTTGGAATATTATTCATAGTGGCAGCCACACTTGATGACTCACCCACCTGGGGGCAACGTCATTTTCTACTTATAATTTCTCCATGTCTATTCCAAATAAAGTACCCATCCATGAAGCCATTTGTGATGAGATGAGCCCTCACTTTAGGTCGATGGTGCCACTTTCTATTCCAACACTTAGTACATGGGCAACGAATCATATTTTTAGCACAAAACATTGAGTTTGTCTGTGAAAATGCAAAATCTAAGAAACTGTCCACTCCAACATCAAATTCATTGTTCCAATATCCCATCTCATCACGACGACAATACATCCAACTTCAATCTCCTTCCATACTTACGTAGTGCCCTAAAATTTAATAATATTTTAATAATACACAACAAAAATGAGAATCATAAATAAAAATTTGAAATTATATAAATTACATTAAAATGATTACC